ATTTCTTTTTTTAGTCACAATTTGTACTTGTTAAAATTCTGTAAATCCTGTTTCCCACTGCAATAAGTACTTGAAAACACTACTCACGCTGCAGAATTAGGTGAAATGCTCTCTGCAAAATTGGTCAATTTACTGTTTAAATATTGCCGGTCCTAAATGACCTTTATGTCCACGATCTGTGATATAACCCTATTAAAACCATATTTGATTGCATAATGATTGAAAGATGTCTTTTACAGTACTTACAAGTTGATACTCTTTAATATAACAAAATCATGGACATGGGGGGGGGGGGGGGGGGGCTGAGGAACCTGAGTTTAACAAAAGTATAAAGACAGTCATACAGATAAATTCTTATTGCCATTCTCCACAATGAAATGGAAGATACCAAAAACACTATTTCATTATTATGCTGTACAGTTAAACTTACAAGTCGACTTTGCCTAACTCAAATAATTTCTAAGTCAATCTCATTTTTGACTATGCAATTGTAACTTTCCAGTATTGTACTGCATACAATGTCTGGTTTTTGAGATGAAATTTCTAAAAAATGGTGGAGTATACTAACTGGAGGCCTCAGTAGAAAAATATGGCAATTTATTTTTTGCATAGCAGATTAAAAAATTTCTAAGGAATTTTTGTTTCATTCGGAGATAGAGGATTCTCCTAGTTCTACTTTAAACGTAACCCAGCGATTTAGAGGTGGTTCGTATTTTATGTTATTAGTTCCAATTTTGATTCCATTTTACACATTTCTTCAAGTGTTTTAACTATAACAATCATACAACAATATATGGTATATATTACACAAAAACGAGCATAAATCTAATTTTATTTAACAAACAAAAAATTCTCACTGGTTTGATCTCAACCGGTTTCTGGACAAAATGGCAATAAGTAAGTCGAAACGGCAATGACCAAAATGGCAACACTTTTTGATTTAAAATGGTAATAGACCACAATGGTAATTTATAAGTCAAAACGGCAAGACCAAAACGATGCTAAACAATTTATGTCAAAAGTAAAAACGAGAAAGAAATTAACTAATTATAAACATGAAAGTGTACTAAGATTAAATATGGTAAAAACCAGTCTAAATACACTAGCAGCAGCAAGAATATCAATAACAATAATAACAATAAATCATTAATAATAATAATAATAATAATAATAATAATAATAATAATAATAATAATAATAATAATAATAATAATTGAATATTAAAAAATCATTAATAATAATAATAATAATAATAATAACAATAATAATAATAATAATAATAATAATAATAATAATAATAATAATAATAATTGAATATTAAAAAGATTGGGGGGAAAAAATATAAAAGCAGTAGACCTAAAACATTTAAACAAATACAACTTTAAAAATACATACAAAATGAGGCTAAACAATTTATGTCATAAAAGTAAAAAAATGCGAAATAATATTAATAATAAACATTAAAAGTGGGAAAAAGACCTCATGGCAATATTCAATTTGCCTATCGAGACAATTTCAAAACGATTCAGAAATTTTTAAACTGGGGCCCACGTCCTGTGGCGCTTGCTAACCTTGGCATTGATTTCTCTCCTTTGCATTGGTCTCAGATGCCATTCTGGTACTTGTCATTGCCGTTTTGGTTCATTGCCATTTTGGTTATTGCCGTTTTCACCTGCTACATCTCAAGCCTTTCTATTTATTTCTTAAGTATTAAGGATAATGTATATTTAAAAAAAAAATATATATATCAAGTCTACTCTAAGAACAAATAGTACAGGAGCACCACAAGGGTGTGTGTTGTCCTCCATACTTTTCTGCCTGTATACCAATGATTGAATGAAAAAAAATGAAATAGATAATTATGTCCGGTGGTGCGATGAGCACTATCTAATCTGTCTCTTATACACATCTAGATGTGTATAAGAGACAGACGCTGGTCAAGAAGTCCAATCCGAA